CCCCAAAACCCCAAAACCCCAAAACCCCAAAACCCCTATTTTCAATGAGAATATTGAAATATTTTTTATAAGCATAAGGTGAACTAGTTTTCTTTTGTGAATATGATAGTTTTAGACTAATTTTAAGGAAATAAAAGCTAATTTGATATAGATGGCACTAAACCCACCCCAAATGCCAGACGGTGAGCCTATCAGAGTTGCAGGTGAATACTTCATGCTCAAAAGAGAAGCGATTGAATTTGAATGCAAAATTAAAGATGAAGGAAAATTTAAAGGAAAAGGATATGTAAGGTCTATCTGATAATCTTTCTAGCTTGTCCTCACAACATGTAGATTGGTATTGATTAACACTAAATCTAAATATGAATGTAATGCTTTTGATCTCCCTCTTGCTCATATCTACGGAGAGAAGTTTCATCAACCTATATTTGGGTCAAATTATGAGAAAGGAATGTGCAAGCCTCTTTATGATGGTTTTCAATCTGATATTGAATGGAAAATTTGGTTCACTGAAGGTGGATGAATGGCTTTCTTGGATACTTTCAAGAAGTGATTAAAAGAAATTAGAAATACGGATGGATATGCTGAAGGTTTAGCAGAATATGCTCAGTCTAAAGCATTTATGACCGATTTTGTTTATATTGATTCAACAGATATCAGCAAAGTATATGCTGTACAACCTACAATCCCTACTGGCACTCCTGCATATGGAGAAACCCCTTACCAAGTATCAAAATCTGACTATTCACCAGAATATCCTGACTATACCCCTGCAGGGACATCAGTTTCACCACTTGCATCAATAGGAGTCCCTATTGGTAGCTCTTACCCTCCTTCTGAGCCTTCATATTCTCACTCAGAAAGATACCCACCTCCTGTACCTCCTCCTAGTGGCCCTAATCCCTACATCGGTGAGCCTATGTATGCTCCTGTCCCATCTCCAGCACCCTCACCACCTCCAAGATATTACCCTCACCAACAATAAGTACCTCAAAATTTATCCTTGTCAAACTGAATTTCTAGAAATGGGGTTTTGGGGTTTTGGGGTTTTGGGGTTTTGGGG